GTGGCGCCCATGATGGCTGAGGCTACGGAGAGCATGCCGCAGCCCGCAGCCAGATCGACTACGGATTTGTCGGAGATATCGCCAAAGGAGGACTCGGCAGTGTAGAGGATGCGTGCGGCCAGGTGGGCGGTGGTTGGGTACTGCTCGAGCTGCACCTTGGGGTTGCGGAACGCCTCGACATCGGAAAGATAGCCTTCGAGCTGCTTGAGCTTCATGGTGCAGAAAGTGAGCGGGAAGGGAGGGGAGGGGGCATTTTTGTGGTGGGCGGAAAGAGCGCGGAACGTATAATAGAGTACCTCGCCGGTCTCTATGGGACCGAAAGGGAAAATTACGTCCATTTTGGAACCTGTTTTCGAAAGGTTTTTTATATGTATCTAGGATGGGGTACAGCGAGACATAGGCGGCGGCGGCAGGCAGGACCAGATTCCGAGCGAGCATGCAGCCAGGGCACGCCCTGTCAGACGGCCGAATGGCTGGCACTGCAGGGCTGGAGCAAACAGCACGGGCTACGCAAGCACAAATTGACATTAGCGTATTTCCCCAAGACATTCCGCGGCATGATGGCTACGCGCGACATAGCCATAGGGGAGGACATCGTGGAGATCCCCGAGCGCCTGCTGATGACGGCGTCCAAGGTGCAGCACGCCGGGCATCTGAGCGAGCAGCAGGCGCTGACGCTCTGGGTATACCAGCAATACAGCCTTGGCGAGCGGTCGCCCTGGCACGCGTACATCTCAACACTGCCGCAGGACTTTGACTCAGTGCCACTGTTCCAGCTGTCGGGTGCGTTGCCCGGAAAACTGGCGCAGACCGGATTGTGGCACGTTCTGCCGCGGTCTGTGCAGGCGAAAATTGCCGACCAGCACCAGCGGCTGGTGGAGGACTGGCGGTGCGCGAAATTGGTAGCGGCGGATAATCTGACAGACTGGCGTAGATTCGTGTGGGCGTGGCTGGCAGTAAGCACGCGGTCGATTAACCTGGGCAGAAAGCACAAGGACCGGCTGGCGCTGGCGCCGTTCCTGGATTTTCTGAACCACAGCGAAACCGCGCAGGTAACGGTGCGGTACGATGAGCACCGGCGGGTGTTTGCGATTCGCTCCCTGGTGGGTTACAGGAAGGGCCAGGAGGTGTTTATTTCCTACGGGCCGCACGATAACCGGCACATGCTGGTTGAGTATGGATTCGTGCTTGAGCACAATCCGTTCCGGTTCCTCGAGCTCGACAGCCAGGTCATGGACTGGATCAGCGAATGCAAGCTGGTAGTCCAGAGACGCAAGCAGTCGGCGGTCAAACCGGAGGACTTTGACCGCATGGTTGAGGTGCTGAAGGGGTATGGGCTGTTTGGCGACTACACGTTTGACAACGAGCCGTCGTTCCGGCTCCTGGCGGCCCTGCATTTGCTGCTGCCGCTGGTGGAGGAGGGGGCGGCGGTAAGGCGGGTGCTGGCGCGGTGGGAGCGGTGGCGCCGCGGCGAGCTGGAGCTGGACGAAAGGGCGGCGGAGCTGTGGGTCGAGGGCGCGTGCCAGAGCGTGCAGGAACGGGCGGGCCACGTGATGCGCGATCTCCAGGCAGAGGACAGTTTCCTGCTGGTCTGTTTGCGTGTGATCTGGGCGGAGATTGGCGGTGTCGCGGCGGGAAATTGATCTGCTTCCCCTGGTCCATGTGACGTCTTTTTTGCCTGAATATATTCCAGCAGTCACTTTGTGAGAAAAAAGAAAATTGCGCCTCGCAGGCTGCCGCAGGACTGGGGGAGGGGGTCATGCGGGCAAGTAGCAGTTTTGCTATATAGCAGCACGTCCTGGAGGGGCAGGCAAGCGTGGTTCCTCACACACCACCAACGAATATTTTTCTATTTCCAACCTACTTGTATCAGTTATGCTTGCATCATCAAAGACACTAAGGCTGGGCGCACGCCGGGCCCCTGCACTAGGCGCGCCGCAGCTGCGCACGTTCTTCAGCAGCTTCAAGGCGCGGGACAACAAGCCGGGGGAGAATCCCACCAGCTCTTTGCCGCAAAAGGCGTCGCGGATGGTACGCAGCGTCCTGTACGGGTCCGAGCAGGTGCGGCAGGAGACGCAGGCGACTTTGTCGAAGGTTCTGGCGCGCGGCAAGTACGTGCACGAAATGGCAGTGCACCATGTGAAGCCGGGCTGCTTGCACGAATACCAGGAGATAGTAGGCAGGCTGTATCCGCGCATGGTCCAGGACATGTCGCCGCAGGTGAAGCTGGTGGGGAGCTGGATGACAGACATTGGCGAGCTGGACACGGCGGTGCATATCTGGGAGTACCAGGGGTATCCGGCGCTGACGCAGGCGTACAAGAACCTAAAGACCGACGAGACGTACGGGAATTGCAGAGGCAGCTGGCGCAGCTGCTGGTGAAGAGGCGGTCGCAGGTGATGCTGGAGTTCCAGTTCTGGCCGACCCACCCGCCGGTTGAGAAGGGCGGGGTGTATGAACTGCGCAGCTACACGCTGAAGCCCGGCACGCTGCTGGAGTGGGAGCAGAACTGGCGCGTGGGCGTCGAATGCCGGCGGCACCACGAGGAGCCGATGGGGGGCGTGGTTCTCGCAGCTGGGCGTGCTGAACCAGGTGCACCACCTGTGGCAGTATCCGGATCTGCAGGTGCGCAAGCAGGTGCGCGAGGACGCGTGGAGCGAGAACGGCTGGCCCGAGACGGTGCTCAACACGGTGCCGCTGATCCAAGAGATGAGCTCGAGAATTATGCTGCCAATGCCATTCAGCTCGCTCAAGTAGGGCGATTTTGATAAAAAAAAATATATTTGAATTTCTACTGGTTCAGCACGTCCACATACTTTGACCGCGCGCCACGCCGTCTGCCCGCCGGAGTGCCTGCCCGGCTGGTGCCCGCACTGGCAGCCATCGGGGGCACCGCCGACGCCGGGCGACCGGCCATGCCGGGCGGCAGAGAGTTCAGCGGAGGGCCGACGGGCGTAGCTGGCTGGGCTGGCGGCGGCACCGACGCGCTCTGCGGCACAAAGCCCATGGCCTTGGGCGGCGGCGGTGGCAGCGGCGGCTCGGCCTCGGGCTTGGCGTTCTTGTCAACCCAGCGCTCCAGCACCGGATCGTAGACGAACTTGGAGTCGTCGCCGAGATTCGCCTGCGTGCGGCGCCCGCCCCACAGGCTCTTGAACAGCCCCATGACGCCGCTGGCCTCCGCCTCGGGCTTCGCCTCCGTGCTTTTGCGCGGCTCGGGCGGCGCCGAGCTGCGCTGCTCCACCGGCTCCGGCTTTACAACAGGTTTCTTGCTGAATCCAAACATGTCCTCATCCTCCTCTTCCACCGGCGGTGTGGCGGCTGGCGCCGACATGGCCGCATGGACCGGTGGGGCCGAAAAGCCCGGGGCCGGGACACCCAGCGCTGCCGCCGGCATTATGAACCCGTCGCTGCCCAAGTTGGCCGTGCCCGGATCGCCCCATGCTGCGTGATCCAGGCTGCGGCGCGCGTCAGTACTGGTGCGGCTCGGAACGGCTTGTGGCGAAGTGGCGAACATGGGGATATGGGGCTCACCAGTTTCTTGCGGGACGCCAGGGCTGGGTGTGCGGCTGGCAATAGCGCCGAGTGGCCGGCCAGGATGCGTGGGGCCGGAGCGGCCAGGACGGTCGGGGCCGATTTCGAATCGGCCGGGCGCCGGACCCTCGTCCAAAGCAATACGGTGGCCGTCGGCGCCGGTGATGAACTTGTCGATTGACGAGTCAAAGGCCGACATCAGCGACGTGAACGACGGCCTGGGCATGGCGCGCGCCAGCCACGACTTGCCCTGCAGTGCGGCCTCGTCGCCCACCAGCTCGGCCGCCTTAGCCGACGTCATGCCGGAGCCGATGAGCCGACTGCGCAGCTCGCGCAGCTCCTGCACCAGCGACGCATGGACAAACGGCACGGCCACGCCTGCAGGCAGAGTCGCCAGGACGCCCAGCACTGCGTCGCAGTAGCGCAGCGCCAGCGCCGTCAGCCCGCAGTCCGCCATCCACCACGCGCGGTAGAGCTTGTACGCCTGCAGATGCGGTAGGCACAGCGGCGAGTCGCCCGACCCCCGCATCGCCGCCGCCACCTCGTACAGCTCCGTCAGGCAAATCGCCGCCTGGCTGCGGTAGAACCGCGAGAACCGCCCCAGCGCCCCGCTGGCATCCTGCCCCAGCAGGACCGCGCGCGCCTGCCCCGATGCGTCCGGCAGAAACACGTCCTTGGGCTGCAGAGCCAGTGCGTAGCAGATGTGCGCGGCCACTGCCTGCCGGTCACTGCGCAGCCGGTCGCCCAGTTGCAGCATCGCTGCCTGGTCGCCAGGCGTGCGGTTTGCTAGCATCAGTGCCAGCGTCTTCGCCCAGCCCTGCGGAGCGCTGGCCTGCGGCGCTGTGTCCAGCTCCGCCGCTGTGACAAACCCGGCTTGCGGCTCGCTACGCTGGTCAAATGGCCGCGGCGGCTCGATGGCTGTCGCCCCCATGCCTGCAAACAGTCGGTACTGCAGCCCCAGCGGCGCCAGGCTGCCTGGCATCGCCGACGCCGTGTATGCTGCCACCACCGCCTGCCACACGTCCTTGCCGGTGCAGCTGGCCACCACCAGCGCATGCGCCCACATGCCGCGCTGGCACGCCAACGCAACCGCCTCCGACCGCCGCCCCGCCAGCAGCAGGCCCTCGATCTCCTGCATGTCTGCCAGCGAGCCGTGAGCAATCGGCTCCGGCGGCTCCTGCCCATTCGGCTTGGTCGGCTCCTGCACGTTGAACAGCGGCTGCAGGGCCTCGCCCGCACGCGCCATCTCGGGCTGCGCACTGTCGCCCAACGCCTCCAGCACGCCCGCCAGCACGCCCACCAGCGCCCGCTCCTCGCTGCTGCCCTGCATGCGCTCCAGCCAGGTACGGGCACAGCCCACCGCCACGTCGCGCCGCTTCAGTAGCGCCGCCTTGGTCGTCTCCCCGCCCAGCAGCGGCGTGTTGAACACCGCCGCCTCGTGCTGTGCTGAGAGCTCCGGCGGCATGTGCTCCGCCAGCTGCTGCACACGCAGCATCCCCGGCGCCGTCTTCGCTGACCCGCCGTGTGCATTGAACCGCTGCACGTGGCGCGGGAACATGGTGAACAGCCGCCCGCCGAACCCAAACGCCATAATCGGCCGCCGCCCCTGCAGCCGCCCCAGCGGGTCCTGCACCTGAGCCGGAGCCAAATCGCCTGCCGACAGGTCGCGCTCGTACGCCATGTCCAGGCTGCTGCGCTCGCTCTGGCTCTGCAGATCAAACACTCCTGCTGGCGCTGTGGGCACTCCCGTGTACCCAAACGACTGCGGCGTTACCATCTGCGCTGACCCGTGCGGGCTGGATACTCCGCCCGCATTGTACGGGTCAAATGCTGCATATCCACCCGCGCTGTCTACCTGCATCTGCTTGTCCGCTGCCGCCAGCGACGAATCGCCCACGCCATTGACCATCGGTGCCTGCGAGTATCCCCCGCTAGTATACGGATCGTACCCGCCATACCCAGGATATTGCTGCTGCTGCTGCTGGCTCTCGCCGCCATTGGCCGTATCAACCACTGCCACTGCCGCTGCCCCGTTCTCCACCGGCGCCTGCGAGTACCCAGTAGTGCTATACGGGTCGTACGCCCCAAATTGCTGCCCACTACCGCCATCCTCCTGTCCGTATCCACCAGAGCTGTATGGATCGAACGGCGTATATCCGGTGCTGCCGTCGAATTGCTGCACTTTGCCCGCCTGCTCTTGCTGGAGAGAATCTGTTCCATTGGCCAGTGGCGCCTGCGAGTACCCACCTGAGCCATACGCATCATACGTCTCGTACTGGCCCATGTCTGCCACCTGCTGGTAATCTCCAGTGCTGCCGACTGTCGCTGCGCCTGTATCCATCACTGCGTAATCGCCATTGCCTGCTGGCGCCTGCGAGTATCCTCCTGTGCTGTACGGATCATACGTGCCGTAAGCAGCGTTCGCATCTTGTTGCTGCTGGTTGCCAACTGCGCCGGTTACCGCTGCTGCAGTCGGATCCACCACCGCACGCTCAGTTGCCATATCTGGTACTTGTGAATATCCAATAGTACTGTATGGATCGTACGCACCGTAAGCAGTATTCGGGTCCTGCTGCTGCTGCTGTTGCTGACTATCGACAGCCCCTGTGGCCATAGGCCTAGACAAATCGCCAACTGTCTCGAATCCACCTGACGTAGCTGGTGCTTGCGAGTATCCTCCAGTAGTACTGTACGGATCGTACGCACCATAAGCAGCGTTCGGGTCCTGCTGCTGCTGCTGGCTATCGACAGCGCCTGTGACAACCGAATTGGTTAAATCACTCACGGCCTCATGCCCACTCGGCGTAACGGGCGCCTGTGAGTAACCAGTGCTGCTATACGGATCGTATGCACCATGTCCAGCATTCAAGTCTTGCTGCACGCGGTCATCAAGCGCCAGACCCGCGAATCCCTCCTGCTTCTGCTGCTCCAGCGATTCCATACCAACTGCCGCTGCTGCCCCGCTCTGCTGGTCCTGGTAGAACGACATACAACCGGTTTGCCCACCGGTCTCGCCAAATTCGCTCTCAAATGCCTCTGCCTGTGTGGTCAACGTGCCCCACGCCGTTTCGCGCGACACCGCAGGCTCGCCAACGCTCGACGGCTGCGTCTCCACCGGGATCTCGGCCGGCGTCTCCGGCGCGCTGTCGGAGAGCTGAGTGTAGAAATCCAGTGCGGCAGGTGGCGCAATTTCCGATACCGTTTCGGTTGCAGCTATGGATTGCGATTGCTCAGTGGAGGCAGCGGAGACTGGTAACTCAGCCTCCACTGTTGATTCCTGAGACAGCTGGCTGGCCTGCTGGCCGGCGTCCGCCACCAGAGCGTCTTCATGAGTGGTAGGTGGTGGCATATCTGCGGGCTGAAGGGGCGCTGGTTCCTCAGCAGCTACCGGCTGCGGCTGGCTGATGGCAGCGTCAAAGATCTCGGCCGGATCCGATGGAACCTGTTGTATGTCGACTACACCGACAGGTTTACGTTCTATGGCAGCTGACTCAGTAGCTTGATGTGCCTGCTCTGCCGTGACAGCCTCCAGGTCAAGAGTACCGGCAGGCTTCGGTGATACCTGCTCGGTTGCCACAACAGGAGCTGCTGCTGGCAGCTGTTGCTGTTGCGCTGACTCCAAATGGGGCTCCGCAATATGCTGGACCGGCTGTGACTCGCTGATAGCAGCATCAAAGATAGCAGCTGGATCGGATGTCTCCAGAAGAGCACTCTCCGCAGCAACAGCGACAGGAATCTCGGCAGCAGGAGCTATCTCCGCCGCCGCCGCCGGTTGGCTATGAATTGACTCGCTGATTGCTGCATCAAATATGTCTGCTGGATCGGATGTTTCCAGCAGAGCGCTCTCGGGAGCCACAGTAGCAGGAATCTCAGCAGCAGGGACTGTCTCCGTCGCCGGCGGCTGGGTTTGAACTGATTGGTGGACAGCTGCATCAAATATGTCTGCGGGATCCGATGTCATCTGCGGTACGTTTTCCGGCGCACTGGGTACAGGAGCAGCCGCAGATACTGCTTCTACCTGCACCGGCGGGCTCTGGACCGACTGACTGATGATTGCGTCAAAGGCCTCAGCCGGGTCCACCACTGCATCAGCTGTGCTATCAGCTGTCACCTGCGTGGCAACACCAATACTAGACTCGGCATGTGTGGCAACAGCAGCCTCGCCCACTGCCTCTGCAGCAACCGGCACTGTTGGTACAGCCGTGACTGGCTGCTGGGCCAGACCC